ATATATGGCATGGTGACTACTCTAAGTGAATACTATAAAACAATCATATGTAAACTTTAAAAACCAAACGTACACGTGTCACTAGGCCTTTCGCAAACTTAATAGCTGAACTGAAATACTTCCTTCCAACACTTCCGGAAGCATCAAAGACGAAATATGTTACTAAGCGTCCGGGAAAGTTGAGATCAATTCTTCGCCTTCTCGGTTGTAGTCGGGGTGACATTTTGAGGATCCTTTTGAGTGGCATTTTGAAATTATTGTTGGATGACGCTTCGAAGATACTCCTTAATGAGATTTTGGAGATCTTGTTGGCCGACATTTTGAAATTATTGTTGGATGACGCTTTGAAGGTATTCCTTAATGATATATTGGAGACCTGTTTTTGTTCCTTTTCTTTTTCGTCCAACAAGTTAGTTAAACGAGCAAGAGCATCTGTAGGACTGTCACTGTAGTAAGGCTCTGTAAAATCACAACAAATATCATTAAAGAAAAATAACTTGTGCATTTGAAAAGTACGGTAGAATCACAAAAATCATCACTTTCAAACAAAGCAAGATGAAGTAACATTAGATATTAGTATTAGGCCTATTTTTCAATAACACATTCTATGTCTAGTCCCTTAGGGATTGGCCCGGCATGGCCAGGTGGTTAGGGCGCTCGACTGCAGGTCACACCAAACATGCTCGCCCTTTCAACCGTGGGGGCGTTATAATTACGGTCAATCCCACTATTCGTTGGTAAAAAAGTAGCCCAAGAGTTGGCGGTGGGTGGTGATGATTAGCTGCCTTCTCTCTAGTCTTACACTGCTAAATTGGGGACGGCCAGCGCAGATAGCCTTCGTTTTTTCACTAAAATGAACTTAAAAAAAGCATCTAAGTAAATAGAACGTGTGAACCACCTGGAAATATTCTACAACTTCGCCACTTTAGGAAAATACATAGATTAACGTAGAGTACACAACTACAGGATCTGTTATATCCTTAAACCACCCACTTACAAAAACATGACTTAAAGGAAAAAAAAATCTCCGTTTATCATTTTTAATTAAAACTGCCTACAGAAACATAAATATTCCACTTTATGGCAAAAAAAAAAAAGAATAGTTTAAGCGTCCAAAAGTAGTCCTTGCTTCTTCAGGCACTGCGATACATTCGTGTTTTCCTCCTAACTGTTCTGATGAAGAGTCGATTTTTCAAATGATCAAATTT